ACTTGCGTGAAACCTCCTCAATTTTTTATCACAGCCTTCACATATGATATCTTGACATCTTGACAAGTCTCATGATTTTTGGACTTCGTTTGCTTTTTATAGAATTTAAAAACAACTCGACCGTAAGTTCATGGTCATGTTTCGTGAACAAGATGTTCGAAATTGGTGGTCTGTTCCTGAATAAGTAGTTTATTGCTCCTGGTTAATGCTTCTCCTTTCTGAAAGAAGATAATGTTACTATGGGATTTCTTGGTTTCAGAGTTATGGACTTATGGCAATATGAATGACATACCATCATATGAATAGACTTAACACATGATTAACATATAGTTAGATGATTGTGTCTTATTTATGGGAGGGAAAATTTGGTTCCCATTCCTTGTGCTCATTTCATTCTTCGTATATATGGTCACATGGGCTAGGTGCAAAACCGTCCTGCGCATGACACTTTCCAATCCGCTCTCATGTTGATCCTGCGCATGCATGACTCAGCTCGTTGGTATCCTTTTCTTTTTCACCCCTTTCCAATCCGCTCCCATCTATGGAGTGATACGAATGGCTACATATATAAGTTCTAGTCAAAACTGCTATCTATCGAAATATTGTGGATCAACTCAGGAATTATTCCCATGAATCTCAGTATTTGCACACTACAAAAATATGGTGGGCGGTGGGAGAAGGAGGAGGAGTAGCCGCAGGACGGTAAACATGGGTACAGATGATTCCTTATTGGTGCGCCGCGCATTCCTAGTGCTGGAACAGATGGTGGACAAGTGGTGCTCACGCGAGTGGGAGGAGACGCACAACTTGTGCTGGGAGCGGCGTTTGATGATGTCAGGTGTAGCACACCATCAAGGCAGCTGCAGCCTTAGCGGATACGTAGAAACATGGGTACACAAATTCATTTATTTATTCTAACGCTCAATTCTGCATGATTTCTAATCATCTTGCTGTTTTTCTCGCAGTCGGCGTCACATGGTGGCCAGCCTTGCTCCATCTTCAAGGCATTTGCTATGGCCCACAAGGGCAAGGCGACGTCCAATGTCGACTACAACCCAGAGGATGGGCCCGAGGCGTACAGCAATGCGACCATCCACAACCACCTCAGTGAGTACACATCGATGGCAAGGGAGGTCCATGGGCCACAGTACGATCCGAGCACCGAGGACCTTGATGGAGAAGTCGTCATGAGGGTGGGAGGAGGCAAGAAGCATGGGCGGTACTAGATTGGCGATGGCGCAATCGACTCGGCTGCTACTCCCAGTCCCTCCCAGATTCGAGCAAGCAGCACGAGCAGGAGCCCGGCCATACGACCTCGGCAGGACACTTCACACCACCGGGTGGAGGCACTTGAGGTTATTCTTGGCTTATTCGTCGTTCATTGGTTTTTTATACCTTTCCTTTGCATTATTGTAACATTGGGGTGAATATATTGTAGGCCCAGCTGGAACAAGAGAGGAGGATACGGGAGCAGATGCAGGCAAAGATGGAGAGGGTGGAGTCCGAGTGGGAGGCCGAGCGGGCCGAGCGGGAGGCCGAGCAGCAGAGGATGGCAGAGATTCTTCAATACATGCAAAGTCTTGGTTCCGCTACGGGTGTACTTCCGCCACCTTCGCTATTCGCTCCACCTCCACCTCCACCTCCTCAAAATTCTACTCCTGTGAGTATAAATGTTTTAGTTTGTATGTTCATGCTTACGGTCAAACCTAGTGTAGTATGAAAGTTTTATTCATGTATGGTATATATTTATCTTTTCCTTTGTGCAGAATCAATCGGCGGCATCGAACGATCCTCATGCTTCAGCGAATCCTTCACCAAATCAGTGATGATACTTGTGGTTGTTAATGGTACTTCTATTTGCAATTGTGGTTGAAGATGATGGAGCACTTGGATTACTTGTGAACTTATTTGTGATATATATGTGGTGTTGGTGATATATATGTGCTGTTGATGATATATATGTGATGTTGGTTATATATATCTTCTGTTTGTTTGGATGGAATGTAAAAAAAATAAAAAAAGACTGTTTTCAGTCACTTTGCCGAGTGCAATGGCCATGACACTCGGTAAAGTGACGACCTGGGAACATGTCTGGGAACATGCTTTGCCGAGTGCACAGGCCATTGCACTCGGCAAACATCACAGATTTGCCGAGTGCCACGGGCCAGGCACTCGGCAAATGTCGCCTGTTTGCCGAGTGTCTTGCCGGTGGCACTCGGCACAGTGGCCACCTTTGCCGAGTGTTTGAGTCAACGGCGCTCGGCAAAGAGGCGACCTTTGCCGAGTGCTTGACCTTGACACTCGGCAAAGCCGCCGTCACGGCGACTTTTCTTTGCCGAGTGTCAGATTAGCACTCGGCAAAGGCTTTGCCGAGTGTCCGATAAAGTGCACTCGACAAAGAGGTCTTTGCCGATCAACTGTTTACCGAGCGCCCTTTGCCGAGTGTAACACTCGCCCTGAGGCACTCGGCAAAGAAGCCGCCTCCGGTAGTGTACATAACAAGAATTAAACAACATTCAAGATATCTGGCTTTGAAGGAAACGATATACAACAAAACATAGATGGCTATGTATACATCTACCTTTATTTGCAGCAGGCTAAAACATAGGTGAGTAAGGTGACTCCATCAGCATCCCAAGTAACTATCGTGAGATTTTATGTTGTGGCTCGTGAGCTAAACGAGCCAGCTCGATCTTGTAAATGAGTTGAGCCCTCCTTCCGCTCGGCTATTATCTTAACAAGCCATAACGAGCTGAGCCGAGTTGAGCTTGCTAAAGGTGCCTAAGGTAAGGCAAGGAGACCAATGATGCACTTATTTGGCCGGCCAAAACCTTGTCCCACTCAAGTTGGTTGCGAAGCTGAATCCCCATAACTGGCTGAGAGGGTGCAGTGGGTGAGGGCGCAGCCCACGTAGGGGCCCAAACCTAGGTCTGTAAACCCCCATAGGCTATATATAGTCCATTTACCAGCAACAAGAGTCCAAGTAGGAAGGCATATCAATGATGGTTCAGTTTTGCAAATCAATAGTAACTAGGTAGCGTGCTCGTACGTTGCTACGGGATAACTAACAATTTATACTAAAAACACACGGATCGCACGATAAGATAACAATACTGTAAAAATTAAATACCAACGTTAAAGTGACATTTAATCCAAAAAGCAAAGTTTATGAATTTAACACAGTCACGGAGTGCACGGCGTCGCAGACTCACAAACTCTATTTATAGACTTTTCCGTGATACGGCTAAGATAATGTTTTATATTGGCAGGAAGAAATCTCCGATATCCATTTCTTTCATTATAATCTATTTATCTGGACAATGTTTGAGGTGAGGGCATGGTTACAGTTTTTAGTAGCTTTGCGATATTGTCCAAAGCTATGAGATGATTGATGTCTTGCAATAATCCTTTCATTAATTTAGTTTTCTATCTATGTTTAATTGTTTATTCAGTCTATTTTATAGGCACGCCGGTAGATAATGGATGATAAAATTCAAGCATCCATAATTTATCTGTTTGACTTTGAGCATGAGTTTTATTTTTACCGTAGCGTTAGCACGGGCATGCATGAAAAACGAAGATGTCTTTACACTGCAGAAATCTTTTAAAAAGATCATGCATAGATTATTCTTGTATTAAATATTATATATATACAATCACCTAAATATTTTAATTAAACTACAAAATTTTGAATTAGGATACGAGGTAAGACATGCAAACAAATATTTCAAAACTACCTGTAGAGTCCAAAGAACTTAATAAATAATTCCTTCCAGAGGCAATGCAAATTCTCTCTAATATTTTATTTGGTGTAGTTAGTGTTATCATAGTACCCGCATGTATTTATGGGAAATAAATCGTAGACAAAATATGGACACTTTTTGGTGCGACATTCCAACATGGGTCTATCGTCCTGCTAATATCCTTGAGGCAGATCATATAAAGGATGAGAGTCCCTCTATGAGATTGCTCACAAGAGACTCAAAATTATATCTGATCATGGTAATGTTGAATTGCTTTGCATCAAAAGATCAGCAATGATAAACGGGGACATAGGTTTTAGTATGCATAGTGGAGGAAAACTCAACATTGACCTTCTCAGCAGCTTTTCTGAGCCTTTGCAGTGCTAACTTGTCCTTACTCAGATAGTCAAGAGGTGCAAAGAGGTTCCTTTTGTCTTAATTCTCTTTTCTTCTGTGTTAATTCTTTCCTTTTGCTCGTTACCATGTATGCTGGTGCATGCAAACATGCAATGTGTATATGGATAGCACAATAATTTTCTACTTCCTATTTTGCCGTGATTCCTCTATTACATAACAGGTAATATTCAATTAAGGAGAATGGCATGATCAATCAGTAATTAAGATTAACCTGTAACATGCGGGAGATGTCGTGGAATCGCAGACGTGGGCAGACGGACGAACTAAAATAAATATCGTACAAAAAAATGTCCACACTTTATTCTTTTTAGTTGTAGGAGATTCTCTTTCCTTATGTGTTAATTCTCTTTTCTTTTGCTCGTTGCCATGTATGCTGGTGCATATAAACATGCAATGTGTATATGGATAGCACAATAATTTTCTACTTCCTATTTTGCCGTGATTCCTCTATCACATGACAGGCAATATTCAATCAAGGAGAATGGCACGATCAATCAGTAATTAAGATTAACCTGTAACATGCCGGAGATGTCGTGGGATCGCAGACGTAGGCAGACGGACGAACCAAAACAAATGTCGCACCAAAAAATGTTCACACTTTGTTCTTTTTAGTTATAGGAGATATGGGCATTAAACCGCAATAGTGGTTCAAAATCTGGAAATGGTCTTAACATTATTTTAGATTTTCCTTCTATACATGTACAGACTGACAACAATGTAATGGGACTTGAGCAATCTTCTTGTTTCCTTCTTCAGAAAAAGTACAACATTGACCGTTAATACATCTTTGGCTTTATTTACTTACTGGCAGGGCACATGGCTCTGGCCATCATATTCATGTCATGTGTCAAATATGAGAATGTAAGAAACCCTACATGATTCATTGAATAACATGAAACACACCACCACCCAGACACCAAACACAAATCCTACACAAAGTCCAAAGAAAAATGATAGTACATTAGAGTCAAGTTCATCTCGCTTGTGATCACCATTGTTTGGTTCATTGATTTGGAAGCAATTCTTCTGAAGAGGGTGTCCACAAAGATCATTGTTCCCGTCATACATAAATGGGTTCTGTGCATAGATCGTGTCTAACTGAACCCCTGATGGGATTGTTCCTGTAAGATTGTTGTATGACAAATCCAAGTAGCTTAAGTACGCTAGATTTGATAGGCTTTGTTGGAGTTCTCCATAAAGGTTGTTTTCTGAGAGATCGAGTGATTCCAATGATCTCATAACCCCAATCATGCTTGGAATTTTTCCAGTCAAGTGATTCCGCGATAAATTCAGATTTATAACTCCACCTAGTGATGCTAATTCTTCTGGAATTCCACCAGTTAAATAGTTCGAAGATAAGTCAATGCTCACCATGTCATAAGTTGCTAAATCATAGTAATACCGCTCTTGCCCCTTCATGGTCACGGACATATTGGCGTTGTTATCTGCCATGACTTGAAACACCCCTTGCTGCATACCCATTAAAGTTGACCAATTCTGGGGTAAGGCACCTGATATACTATTGCCTGCCAGATTTAGATGAGATAATCTTGTAAACTTGGCTATAGCTTCTGGAATTGTGCCAGTGAAGTTATTCCATGCTAGATCGAGGATACATAGTTCTGTGTATGTATCCAAAATTGTTTGCAAGTTCCCAGATAACATATTATTACTTAATATTAGTGTATTCACCCTTCTTGGCTCAAAACATTGTGGAAGTTCGCCCTCCAAACGATTATTGGCTAAGTTCAAGAGACCTCCATTCACTTCACAAACAGATTGTGGAATGTGGTGAGAAAAATAATTGGAGAACAAACTCAGGTCCACTAGATTTGGGGCTCCAAAATTGGATGGTAGTGGCCCTGATAAATAGTTCCTAGAGAGTTCCATTGCATAAAGATTAATTGGCAGCTGAGGTATTTGACCAGTTAGCTTGTTTGAATTCAAGTAGAGAACAAACTCTATGTCATGTTTTTCAAGTTTGTTGGCAATGTGACACTAATTCCATTGTTCGAAATCTGCAAAATTCTGGTCTTAGAAAAAGTAGTAACAAACCAGTCAGGAAGCCTATCAAATATAGACGTGTTCGACATAAAAAGCTCATCTATACCGGCTTGCGACTGCAGCCAAGCAGGAAACCGAGGACCCATCTGGCAAGATGTAAAAGCTGCTTTTTCAAGTCTAAAGGTTGGCATACATTCTGGATCCACCTTGATCTTCAAGGAATTACTTGACAAGTCAATACTCGTCAAGTTTTTAAGGCCAGCAAAGTGATCTTGGGTGATCACCCCGTCAAGGTCCCTTCAATTTGTTGGGGTAACATTTTGGCAATCTCCGAAACAACTCTGTTATGTTGCCATCGTAGTTACTGAGACTGAAGTCTATGGTTTCCAAATTGCACAAACTTCTCAAGTTCGCTGTCATGATGTCTATGCCTCCACCACTATCTGAAAGAAAGAGGAATTGGAGGGACGTCATATCTCCTATGCATCAGGAATTTTACCATACAAATTAGTTCCAGAAAGGTCAAGATACTGGAGGCTTGTCAAGTTCCAGAACCAACATGATGTAACCGAGTGGTCAAAGTAGTTCCCGAGGAGTTCGAGCTCTTCAAGGTCTGTAACATTAAGATGTGGGATAGATTGGTTTGCACTTGTAAGAGAACAACCAGGAAGACGAAGGACCTTCAAAGAAGGAATCCCGTTGACCACCTGAGACCAGTCAACTATCCTGCTGAGGTTTACATAGGCCATATTGTGGTATTCTAGTGGCAGATTTGATAACCATGATATATCAGTAGAGTACAATTTTGGATCACCCCATTCCCATGGGAAGGGGATGGCGTCTGTACTGGGTGAGAGATCAAGGTAGTGCAACTTCGACAGATTGCCCAACTGAGGTGGCACCCTCCCGAAAAATGGCATGCCGGAGAGGTCGAGATACCGCAAGTTCTTTCAAAGGCCCAAGAATTCTGGCATACGCCATGCCGGCCCCGAAAGGTTGTTCCAGCTGAGATCAAGATGCTCAACATATTGCAAGGAGACCAAGGATGGACTTATCTGGCCTCCCAAAGCCGCATCCCAATAAGAATCTTGGAGATCGTCGGCCTGCGGGTTGCGAAGCTGAATCCCCATAACGTGGCCGGTGTGGTTGTTGCAGTGGACGCCCCTCCATCTGCAGTAGTCTTGTTCACCTTGGTTCCATGAGTCAAGGCTGCCAGCCAGGTCGCTGCTGATGGCTTGCTTGAACGCCAGCAGGGCCTCCCTCTCGCGCGTGAAGCAGCTGGAATTAGCTGTTCCCGTTCCATTGTGGTGTCGGTGGTGCGGCGCCAGTAGTGCATCTGAGGTCGGGGAGAAGGAGAACATGGTGCCAGCTGATGCTACGATCAGGAGCAGCAACAACATTGGTCGTCTTGGACGCAAGATGTGGGTGTGGGGGTTAATGGAGTTTCGAGCTCTCAAAGCTTAGCGTAAATAAAAATGTGTGTGTGCACTACTAGTGTTGGATGCCTGCAATATTATATTTTTAGCTTGTACATGCATGTGGGTTTATATCTAACATTCAAGCTGCAACGTAACTGTCAATTTTGTACGTGCTTGTGGAGTTGGCTGACACGACGCGGCGTTCAAGATAGGAAATGGCGATAGTTTGCCCAGGACCTCACGCTGGGGATCATGCGTTCGTGGCAATGACGACGTGCTTTCTCCGTCGCCAGGGAATTAGCTTTCTCCTCCGATCCGTCCATGACCAGCTCACCACACACGGCGACACGGCGTGTCCCGTCCGGCACGGTAACAGTCCTGCTCTTGTCCATCATTCCATGTCGGCTTCGTCACGCTGCCACGAGTCGAAGAGGACCTGCTGAGTCCTTGCATTGGCGATGCCAGGTAGCTTCAACGTGCCAAGCAGCGAATGCATGGCGCTGCCGGTGCTCATATATCAGCCCGTTATTGGCCCCGTTGGGGACAACGACATGTAGGTGAAGCCTGATGGTATATATATGCAGGTCTATCTCCTCGTCGGTAAAAAATTGGGTGGGATAGTCCCCGCTGCCCACGGTGTGTTCCATGCTACCATTGATCGGTGACACGTGTCATCCATTTTTTTTCCTCGTCGTGGTGCTCGAGTCCGCGCCAAGCAAAGTGTCCGGACTACGGGTCCATCAGGCGTAGGAAGATAATAAGTACGTGAGGAAGAGTGTGTCGGAAAAAAAAAATCCAGGCGGGGAGTCCACGCGGCGTCCGTGGGCACCCCTCACGTTTACGCATAACGCATGTCCACTGCCGGGCCATGGCTCATCCGCTCGGCTCTCAACATCTCCCCTGGACCCTGGCGCACGTCTCGTAATAATAACTCAGCTCAACACGCCCTCCGTCCTCCGTCTCACGCGGCTGACAAGCCGAGCATTCCTATTTCGTGACCATTGTGGGTACCGGACACCGCAGTTACAGGAGCTTTCAGGGATCGGCCAAAAAAACAAAAGAAGAGAAAGATCGGCCGCCGCAGTCTGCTAGAACGCCAAGAACATGAAGCAAAAGTGAATAATTGTCAGACCATGCACCCGACCCTCAAGTGGGTGACGGTCGTCAAATGAAGCTAGTGCAGCCATGGGATAGGTCTAAATGGGCTATTTTTTTTTACTGGGCTCCAAATACACATAACGTTTGGGCTAAATTAGCTAGGAGAGGCAAATAGCTCTTAAGTACATATATTAACGGAAAGATCACTACAGCATAGGGGTGCCAGGCTGATGGAATTAAACTTAATTGCACCAGCTAACCGAAACAAAACATCATTTGTAGCATCTTCTCACATAGTCTTTACTCTTGTTGTTGTCTCTTCTCTTTTTTGCACCATAGTCCTTCTTCTTCATGAATTTACCAAACTTGTGCAAAAAAGATCTATGGCTTCATCATCAATGTCATAGCATCTTCATCATCACTAGATTCTTCTTTCTTAGCTTTGCCTTTGCTTTTGGATGATGTGCTAGCCTTGAAATGCTACACTCTTCTTTTTCTTGTCATCATCCTTCTTCTCATCTTGGTCAACCCCGTTCCTTTCCATACGGTATATCTCTTATATTATGACATCATATATTACTTGGTGAGGTGTTAATATCTTTCAATCCTCCTCTTATGATAATCAATCTCAATGTCTCAAACTTTGGAGGTAGGCACATCAAGAACTGGTGGAAGAAATTATCATCTTTCACCTTCTCACCCAAACTCTTGAGATCATTGACAATCACTTGCAATTTATGGAACATCTCCGGAATGCTCTCATCATACTTCATCTTGAAGTTTGTCAACTTATCCTTGAGAATGTACAATTTTACACTCTTGACCGCCGGTGTGTCCTCATATATTTCTTCCAACCTCTTTCACACTTCACTAGCTCTCTCAAGATCTTTGATTTGCTCAAATACCTTTGAATCAGTTACATTGTAGATGGTGTTTAGAGCCATAGTGTTGTACTGCTTGTTCTCTAGCTCTCTTGGGGTTGGATTGGTGGGATCAAGAATTACATAATCACTCTCAGTCAAATCCCATACGTTGTCATTGATTAAACCCAAATACATCTTTATCTTTCTCTTCCAATAATCATAGCATGTACTATTAAAGTGTGGTGGTTTGCCCCCAACATGGTTGAACGCTATTTGAGCCATCTTTTGACACCGAAGGTTGTGAAGCCTTAATTAAACGGTGACCACGGCTCTGATACCACTTGAAAGATCCTAAATGACTAGAGGGGGGTAAGTAGCCTATAAAAAAATCTCTACAAATACACTAGAGCAAATGGTTAGTAACTTAAATGACGAAATGCATTTTTACTCTAGCTCTACAAGGGTTATAAGCCACCTACACCAACAATTCTAGTGAATTAATATCTCTATGTCACTCAAGGCTATGTCTCTAGTTCTATACTAGTGAGCAAGCTAACTAGAACAACTAACTACACTAAGCTACACAACTAGCTAGCAAGAGAGCTACTCTACTCAACTACAACTACCACTACACAAGTAAATGTGAATGGTAATATAAGTGATACAGATAGTTACCAATGTCGGCAAGAGATAAGCAATCACAATATGAATATCCGAGAGAAATCCAATGGACAAAAGACAATCAATTTTTCTACTGAGGTTTATATGCTTGCCGGCACGCTAGTCCCTGTTCTGTCGACCAACACTTGGTAGTTCAGCAGCTAATAGTTGTTTCATAAACCTAGCCCAACATTTGGGCACCGCAAGAACCTACCCACAAGTGAGGTAATTCAATGACACGAGCAATTTACTAGAGTTACCTTTCGGCTATTCGCCGGGAAAGGTACAAGACCCCTCACAAAACACTGGGAGATGGCCACAAATAATCACCAACTCGTGCCAATGCACCTCCGCTACTTCAAGCTGTCTAGGTGGCGGCAACTACCAAGAGTAACAAGAAAACCGCAGCCACAACGATCCCCAAGTGCCACTAGATGCAATCACTCAAGAAAATGCACTAAGGATCACTCCCAATCTCACTTTGATGATGAATCAATGGAGGAGATGAGTGGGAGGTGTTTGCTTAAGCTCACAAGGATGTATCACTAATGAAAAATGCAAGACAGTGAGCTAGACCTGGCCCCAAGCTATTTATAGAGGAGCCAAACCTCTACTAGCCGTTATGCCCTCGAGGAGATCCGGACCCAAGCTCCGGACCATGGTTCCGGACCATCTACAATGAAGGTCCAGACCCTCGATGGCCTCGACGTGCTGCCTCATTCAAACGCGTCCGTCAGATCTAAACAGTCACTAAAAACACGCTCAGACAACAACCAGACCGAGCAACAGGACCATCGAACCCCTCGGTCTTCTTCAATCCAGAGAGCTCCCAAAGCAAATGGACCGAGTCTTGTTCCTACAACCAGACCAAGTCACCAGGGTCCTGTTCAGCAGGACCATCAGAACCGGACCAAGTCACTAGGGTCCTATTCAACAGGACCATCTCACCTCGATCCTGTTCAACACATAGAGCTTTTAGAACCAACCGGGATGTGGCAACTGGACCCAAAGAAGCACCAACTGGAACCATGCGCCACCAGGGTCCGGTTTAACACAGAGAGATCCAAAACACCTTAAAAGCAACCGGATCGAGTTCGGTTCTACCAACAGGACCATCTCCGCCAGAGTCCTATTCAACACAGACCAACATGACCATCTCACAATGGTCATGTTGCCCTCGCCATCAGGGTCCTGTTGACCTTTTCATCTCCAAATAAACTTCTATCTCTTCACCCTTGCTCCCAAGTGCTAAATACATTATGTATCATCATTGTGCATGTGTGTTATCATTTTTTAAAGCATTTTACAAGGGTTAATTTTTAGCACACTAGGTCCTAATGCATATGCATGAATCACTTCACCTAGTGGCACTCGACAACCATTTTAACCAAGGCTTTCCCCTCTTAATAGTATGGCTATCGATCCTAAATGCACTCACACCCTCTATGGTGTCTTGAGTGTCAAAACAAAAATCTATTTGATACCTTTGCCTTGATCAACATGTGGTTTTTGTTTTTCTCTTTCTTTTCCAAGTTGGAGCTTGATTACCATCATCACTTGTCCATTTCCACCTCCATTAACTTCATCACCAAGCTCCATCACTAGGTATGTACCAACCTTGTTCACATGACACTCATGACAAATGTTAGTACCTAGGTTTTATCAATTAGCCAAAACCAAACTAGAGCTTTCAGATGGTAATAGGGAGATCGTCGAGCCAATGCAAGATAATCCTGCGCCAATCATGCCAACATCTGCGCCTGCAGATCCTATCTCGGGACTTGTTCTAAGGTCATCTTCCTCGCCGAAAGCTTGCCTCCAGGCGCCACGTCGGCCGAGGAAACCGATCGATCAAGACAATCTGATCTCTTCCATAGACCG